GGGTGACGGGCCCAAGCTGGTACGGGAATTGTTCCGAGTAGCAGAGGAGCACGCCCCCTCCATTGTGTTCATCGATGAGATTGATGCAGTGGGCACCAAGCGGTAAGATGACTGTTGTATGCTTGACCTCTTGTACATTATGTGCTGTCACAGTAACCTAGTGATTCTATTATTTATGTTCTATGTTCATGCACCGAGTCAAGGACCCGTTTCCATGCCTTGGGGTATTGGATATGTGTGCTACTGCCCTTTACTTGTGTGTGCTACATTGTGTTAGTTGTGCTGTCACATTAACCTAGTGATTCTATTATTTATGTTTTATGCTTATGCACCCAGTCAAGGACCCGTTTCCATGCCTTGGGGTATTGGATATGTGTGCTACTGCCCTTTACTTGTGTGTGCTACATTGTGTTAGTTGTGCTGTCACATTAACCTAGTGATTCTATTATTTATGTTTTATGCTTATGCACCCAGTCAAGGACCCGTTTCCATGCCCTGGGGTATTGGATATGTGTGCTACTGCCCTTTACTTGTGTGTGCTACATTGTGTTATACTGTCATGCTGAGCAATCGTTATATTGTTCTGTTAAGGAATTGTTATATTGTCTCTCTGTAGCATCTGGCTACATGTTGTGTGTTGTACTGATCTGTAAAGGAATTGTTATATTGTCTCTCTGTAGCATCTGGCTATATATTGTGTGTTGTACTGATCTGTAAAGGAATTGTTATATTGTCTCTCTGTAGCATCTTGCTATATGTTGTGTGTTGTACTGATCTGTAAAGGAATTGTTATATTGTCTCTCTGTAGCATCTTGCTATATATTGTGTGTTGTACTGATCTGTAAAGGAATTGTTATATTGTCTCTCTGTCTGTAGCATCTTGCTATATATTGTGTGTTGTACTGATCTGTAAAGGAATTGTTATATTGTCCCTCTATAGTATCGTGCTATGTTTGTTGTACTGTTCTGTAAAGGAATTGTTATATTGTCTCTCTGTAGCATCTTGCTATATATTGTGTGTTGTACTGATCTGTAAAGGAATTGTTATATTGTCTCTCTGTAGCATCTTGCTATATATTGTGTGTTGTACTGATCTGTAAAGGAATTGTTATATTGTCTCTCTGTAGCATCTTGCTATATATTGTGTGTTGTACTGATCTGTAAAGGAATTGTTATATTGTCTCTCTGTCTGTAGCATCTTGCTATATATTGTGTGTTGTACTGATCTGTAAAGGAATTGTTATATTGTCCCTCTATAGTATCGTGCTATGTTTGTTGTACTGTTCTGCTAGAGAATTGCTATATCGTTCCTCTATGGCATTGTGTTATAGTGTCCTGCAGTAACAATCTCCTTAGCATTAATTCATAGTTTGTCTATCAGCCTGCGAGTGTAGCTAGAATGTTGTCAGACTGCCAGTGTAGCCAGAATGTGGTCGGCCTGCCAGTGTAGCCAGAATGTGGACGGCCTGCCAGTGTAGCCAGAATGTGGTCAGCCTGCCAGTGTAGCCAGAATGTGGTCGGCCTGCCAGTGTAGCCAAAATGTGGTCAGCCTGCCAGTGTAGCCAGAATGTGGTCGGCCTGCCAGTGTAGCCAGAATGTGGTCAGCCTGCCACTGTAGCCAGAATGTGGTCAGCACGCCAGTTTAGCCAGAATGTGGTCAGCACGCCAGTTTAGCCAGAATGTGGTCAGCCTGCCACTGTAGCCAGAATGTGGTCAGCCTGCCACTGTAGCCAGAATGTGGTCGGCCTGCCACTGTAGCCAGAATGTGGTCGGCCTGCCAGTGTAGCCAGAATGTGGTCGGCCTGCCAGTGTAGCCTGAATGTGGTCGGCCTGCCAGTTTAGCCAGAATGTGGTCAGCCTGCCAGTGTAGCCAGAATGTGGTCAGCCTGCCACTGTAGCCAGAATGTGGTCAGCACGCCAGTTTAGCCAGAATGTGGTCAGCACGCCAGTTTAGCCAGAATGTGGTCGGCCTGCCAGTTTAGCCAAAATGTGGTCAGCCTGCCAGTGTAGCCAGAATGTGGTCAGCCTGCCACTGTAGCCAGAATGTGGTCAGCCTGCCACTGTAGCCAGAATGTGGTCAGCCTGCCACTGTAGCCAGAATGTGGTCAGCCTGCCACTGTAGCCAGAATGTGGTCAGCACGCCAGTTTAGCCAGAATGTGGTCAGCGTGGCTTGTGTTTGACATTTTCTGCTTTTCTTATTTGTTTTTTTTTTAATTGGAAGTAATCAGCAGTGGTTCAGGAAAGATAACTCAGGCAGTTATTGCTCATTAATCTTGTGTTGTCTGAACATCCTGCAGATATGAGTCAAACTCTGGGGGAGAGAGGGAGATCCAGAGAACCATGTTGGAGCTCCTGAACCAGTTGGATGGCTTCGACTCCCGGGGAGATGTCAAGGTCAGAGTTGGACAGCTGTAGTTCTTGGGCAGCAACTGATTCGTATATTCTTGTTTGTTCTGTCCAGCTGACATGAGTGATTGATTAGTTTGTTCTGTCCAGCTGACATGAGTGATTGATTAGTTTGTTCTGTCCAGCTGACATGAGTGATTGATTAGTTTGTTCTGTCCAGCTGACATGAGTGATTGATTAGTTTGTTCTGTCCAGCTGACATGAGTGATTGATTAGTTTGTTCTGTCCAGCTGACATGAGTGATTGATTAGTTTGTTCTGTCCGGCTGACATGAGTGATTGATTAGTTTGTTCTGTCCAGCTGACATGAGTGATTGATTAGTTTGTTCTGTCCAGCTGACATGAGGGATTGATTATAGTAAAACAAAATTTATACGAAAATGTAGTCAAGTTGCATACTTGTACTTTCTTGGGTGTTTTTTTGTGTGTCTCTCTTTGGTACCAAGGAAAAGACAAACATCAGCGCCCTTAGTTTGAACATCGAGGCAGTATCAAAATAAGTTATTTTAATGTTATGGTGGCCTGGAAATAACGGCGATAGTGGGAACAGTTTCTAGAAGACAAGGCAGAGGACACCCTCCATGACATTGAAGATACATTGGTTATGAAAGCACATAGGGCTGGTGAATTGGCTAGGGACTTTTTGAGGGCGATATTCTTTAAACAGCCTACTGATTGATAATGGTTTCCTTGGTGCTGAGTGTGGTTTTGAGCTTTGATGACCTCAAGAAAGTTGTGGCATCAGGGATTAGTTTCTGAAGCTGTACCATCCGTCACCAGTCCTGTCATAACAGTCCACAGTTTAAAACTTATAGAGCTAGCTGCATATTTACTAGAGAAAACTATGTGGGTCATATGATCAGTATCACCCCTGACATTTGTGAGAGGAAACATGTGGGTCAAAGTGTCGTAGCAAAGCAGACTGGTGTGAGGTTCTAACTACACTTGGCTGAGAATGCAGAGATTAGCCCGCAGAAATTCAACTGTTGATTCATGTTAATTCCTGTCCAGGTGATGTGATTGTCTGTACCATTGGTTCTGTCATGAGAGGCAGAAGTGCTTGGGGGTTCATTGCCAAAGCTGGATGGATGAGACTTAGTGCTACAGAGTCTGGGGTGTGATACTACAACGTCTAGTTTGAGAATGGAGGTGGAGGCAGTCACAGCAGCTTTGTGACGGCTTGAGAACCAGTTGCAGACACATGTCATGATTGTAACCGGCACACAGTAATGTTAAGAATGGCATGGAGAGTGTCGAGCAGTTCTTTAGATATGGGTAGTTAGCTTTCTGTGGATATTTTCTGCTGGGCATGCAGGAGTGTTGGAAAATAAACAGGTGGACAGATGGCTGGTTCTGCACCAGTAGGTGGTGAATTGACGCAGGACAAGCGAAATGTGGGCAGAGCCCCTCTGGGAGCAAGTGAACAATGCAGAGGCATGAATAGATCATTATGGTCTGGAGAGAAAGGGATGCAGCCAGGAGTGACCAGGGATCTGGTCAAACTGTACACACAGAGGAAAAACATGATGGACATATAATCAAACCGCTTCTGGCACCTTGTAATTGGAATTCTTAATTGGTTGCTGTGAGGTGATGTCCCGAGTGCTGTGAGGTGGAGATGTCCCCAGTGCTGTAAGGTGGAGATGTCCCCAGTGTTGTGAGGTGGAGATGTCCCCAGTGCTGTGAGGTGGAGATGTCCCGAGTGTTGTGAGATGGAGATGTCCCCAGTGCTGTGAGGTGGAGATGTCCCCAGTGTTGTGAGGTGGAGATGTCCCCAGTATTGTGAGGTGGAGATGTCCCCAGTGCTGTGGGGTGGAGATGACCCCAGTGCTGTGGGGTGGAGATGTCCCCAGTGCTGTGGGGTGGAGATGTCCCCAGTGCTGTGAGGTGGAGATGTCCCCAGTGCTGTGAGGTGGAGATGTCCCCAGTGCTGTGAGGTGGAGATGTCCCCAGTGCTGTGAGGTGGAGATGTCCCCAGTGTTGTGAGGTGGAGATGTCCCCAGTGTTGTGAGGTGGAGATGTCCCCAGTGCTGTGAGGTGGAGATGTCCCCAGTGCTGTGAGGTGGAGATGTCCCGAGTGCTGTGAGGTGGAGATGTCCCCAGTGCTGTGGGTGGAGATGTCCCCAGTGCTGTGGGGTGGAGATATCCCCAGTGCTGTGGGGTGGAGATGTCCCCAGTGCTGTGGGGTGGAGATGTCCCCAGTGCTGTGAGGTGGAGATGTCCCCAGTGCTGTGAGGTGGAGATGTCCCCAGTGCTGTGAGGTGGAGATGTCCCCAGTACTGTGAGGTGGAAATGTCCCCAGTACTGTGAGGTGGAAATGTCCTAAGTGCTGTTATATCACTTCTTGGCTCAAAACTCAGCTCTGGTAAAAGAGGAAAACTTAGTTTTTTTTAAAAAGACCTGCAGTGGTTTTTTTTTTTTTGCACCACAGATTTTAAAGACAGACACTCTTTTTCATTTACTTGCAATGTCTGTCTGTATCCTGCACTGTCTTGTGAAGATCTAGCAGGGAGCAGAAAGGCCGGTGGGGATGTTATGTATCTTTGTTTGTCTCAGGGAAAAGGCTAAATGAATTTGTTCCTTATGTTTTTCAGGTTGTCATGGCAACAAACAGAATTGAAACTTTGGATCCAGCCTTGATCAGGCCCGGTCGCATTGATAGAAAAATTGAGTTCCCACTTCCTGACGAGAAGACCAAACGTCGCATCTTCACGATCCACACCAGCCGCATGACACTGGCTAGTGATGTCAACATTGAAGACTACGTCATGTCCAAGGATGATCTGTCAGGGGCTGATATCAAGGTACTTTTGTGTTTGTGTGTGTCAGGTGGAGGGGAAAGAGGTGGTCATGCATTTGGTTTATCAGAGAAAGTGATCATCAGTGGGAATACATAAAGCCTGGGCCATCATTTGTTGTTGTGGGTTGAAATTACTGTGTGAACGTTCCAGTGGCTTTGTTCTCTAATATTCATTGTACTCTTGTTGTCTAGTCTCTCCCCCGGGTGTTTAAGTCTCTCTCCTCAGGCATGGGAAGTACACAGGAGGGATAGTTTAGTTACGGTTTTAACACATGTTATCACTGACTCAAATTTAGCAGAATAACCTCTTGATTTACTTAATGATATCCGTGAGCTGCACTTTAGTAGTTCTGTCCGACCATTTTTGTCATTATGTATACAGGCATTATTTAATGATGCTTATTGTTTATTTACATTTGTTTTTAGCTCCATGTTTCTGATCTACAGTTCTTTTTCCCGCTGTAAATGATTTAGTGCTTTCAAAGCTTCTTGCTTTTTATAATATTATGTTCTCCCAGCGTTATCTTTATTACTAGGTAAATGTACCTATGGTTTTATTCGTTGAACTGAGATATCTCCAAGGAAAACTGAGTGTCTTAACATCTGCTGTTGTCCAGTGTGACCTTCACCATTTGCTTGTGTCTTCAACTGTCTGCACTCCTATTCAGTTTTTCTATACAAATGTCAGTTTTCCTAAACTTGTCCACAGTCTGTATAAACATTGATTTAGTGTCGCTGGCAGCCATCTTGCATTAATGTTTATTAATTATTCCCTAGGCCATCTGCACAGAAGCTGGTCTGCTGGCGCTGCGAGAACGACGCATGAAGGTTATGAATGAAGATTTCAAGAAAGCCAAGGAAAATGTTTTGTATCGTAAAAATGAAGGAACTCCTGAGGGACTTTATCTGTAATTGCCTGTGCTTGAAAATGGTTTCTTTATCTTGTACTTGTTTTGTGTATTCCTCATTTTTAGATTGGCCAATATAAAAAAGAAAGCCAGATATTTGTTGATAGTTTGTTCTCATCACATTTGTTTTGTTCATCTGCATACGAAGTAGCTTGCATTCTTATTTTCCCTGAAATAAAAGTGCTTGCATCGAGTGTTTGATTTATAATTGAAGTTTTCACGTCTCCATGTCCAAATTTTCTGCTCCGAAAATAAAAATTGAGGTTGTTGTCGGCTACTGTGGCTTAGGCGTTGCGAAAACATCCAGGTTTCAACAGCAGTATCGAGAGATGACCGTTCAGTCAGCAGTAAATAACTACTGAACATAAAATTACTTTGTGAAATCAGTCAGCCAAACAATGCTGGGGCTGATTTTGCAGTGTTATGGAAAGGACAGGCGACTAATATAGAGGGGGGGGGAGGGGTGGATGTCCATGCGTTGTCTCGATGTGTGGAGCTTATGTCCATGAGAGAACTAAATCTGTGACATTGTCGACTTAGGAACCCAGGTGAGTTTGAAATAATCTGTCTCCGTGGGTGGTGACTGAAAATGTTGAAGGTGTTATAATACAACGACCAAGGATCTTCCCGGCAGAGCAACACACCTGAAGCAAGAGAAACTCACTGAGAACAAAAAGGGTGGTTGAAAACTGATCAATATTGGTAGCCTCTTTCTGGCCACTTAACGTTTGAGATAACACACCAGAATATGGCACGGAACAACTGTTCAATTTCTGTGTTATGTCAGTGTTCTGTGTGTTTTCCCCCTGAAGTGTGAAATTTGAGGTTGGTCCAAACATCCCAAAAGTGTCGGTGTTTTAAACAAACCCAGACCTCGTTCCACCACTGGAAAAAAAATTTTGAAAGTAAATGACGTGTGGGCCCGGATGGGTGTGGCTGGGCACGGATGGGTGTGACTGGGCACGGATGCAAAGCTTGTGCACATAGCAAGGTAATGTTGTGCCCAGGGTGTAGAGATTTGACATAAGAGATAATCTGACATTGGTATGACAACAGTCATTGAGTGGGGCTGGCAACCTATGCTCTGTGTGGAGCAGAGACCTAATCAAGTAAGGTACCCTTGTTGCTCATCTGACATGATGATGTTCTGATTTAATGAGTGATGTGGTCAACATCACACTGGTCGCCTTTACTTCCCAGGACATTTCTTTGGACCAATTTTAGGCTGAGTTGACCTGAGAGTCAATATATTTTTTTTTTTCAAATCGCACTTAATAAAATATTTACTTACTTAAGAACTATTACAAATGGTCATTAACTGTTTTCTATCTGTGTAAGGCAATTAATGTAGAAAATGGTAATCAACAAGTTTTGTGCTTTAAAGAAACAAGTAGACTAATTTAGTTGAAACTCTGTCTGCTGGTTTTTCTCACTCTCTGTGTCTATCAATGTCCATAAGTTTATGGTTTTCTGAGTGCTGCAAACGCTACATGATGACTAGCCCATACGGGTTTACTTTTTCCAGCTAAAGTTGTTTCTTCTTTTCTTCGGTTCACCGGTGTAAAAACTCGGCGAAAAGTTGGTTTTTCCCCACTTTGGACGCAGTCCTTTTCCCAGAACCTAGGTGCGTGTGCACCCTTTTTGAAGATCGAGCAGATTTTGGTTCCCTTTTGCCTTCAGGCAGATCATCCGATTCGAAGGAAGCCCCCAATTGGTAACTCTTACGACATGCTTTGGGTAGGCAGGGTTTTTTCTTTTTTTTCCCCATAGTGGGCCCGGACCCCACGGAAGAGCAGAATTTTAAATTCCCTCTCCCCCCCCTTTTTTTTTCTTTAAGGGGTAAGGAGGGCAGTAGTTTTAGCACCATGATGGGAAATAAATCCAAGAGCTGGCCAACAAAAAAGAATCTTAGCCACGCAAGTAAAACCAGACCCAAAAATTTTAAAAGGAGGCTATCAAAAGCGGCTGAAATGTCGTTTTTTTTGAGAGTGGAATGGAAAATGACCAAAAATTTAAGACAAGGGCTGATATGTTGAACGAACAGGCTTTGACGCATTTTACGAATTTGTATTTAGAATCAAAAATAAAAAAATATGAAGAGACAAATGTTTGGGGACGGGGGAGACTGGTTTGATTTCAAAGACAAAACAGGGAAAGGTAGTCGAAGAGGAAGAGCAAAAAAGATTGAAATTAAAAGTCAAAAAACTGACGGATTAAGATTTTAACTTAATCATCAAAGGAAAAAGAAGGAAAGATACGGATTTTCGTTTTTGTAGAACACCACGACCCTGACCCTTTGCATTTCTTTGACAAAAACCATCCAAAACGAGTCAAACAATATTAAAAAAATTAAAAATTTCGTGGAAACATCTAGAAAAGAAAACCCAAAAGGAAAAAGTACAAAAATTCTAGCAATTGTTTTGACTTACCCTACTAAATTTTGTCCTTTTCTTTATGAAGTCTGCCTTTCAAGATCCCCGGATAAACTTTGCTTGGTGATGAAGTAAGCTAAGCCAAAATGATGGTATTTTAGCTGTTCAATTTTTTTAAAGCCCCAATAGGGAAAAAATAAGTGGAAAGCTTTTCCCACTCTTTGAGGCCGAATTTTATTGCAGATAGCTTTAAAAGGTCAAAAATCATCCTTTTCTTCGGTTTTGATTTGATAAATTCACCCAAATGAAAAAAGAAAAACTCGACAACTAAAATATCAAATGCAAGGGAAAATTAAATTGGGTGTAAAACACCTAAAGTGGAACACCAGGTAATCAAAACCGATTCTCTTGTCAACAAAAACAGGAGAGGACGGGTTTTTCAAACACGCCCCCAAATTACGGAACGCAACAAAAGTGGGAAAA